GCGGGGCTGCCAGCGCACCGCGCTGCCTCGGCAGGCACGGACGGGGTTCGAACCCGCGATCTTCGGTTTACGAGACCGACGCCTTACCACTTGGCCACCGCGCCCGACGGGCTGGCTGCACCCGCGCGCCGCCAGTGGAAGGCAGCGAGCGGCGCGGCCGGGCCGGGCCGGGCCGGGCGGGACCGGGCGGGACGGGGCGGTGGGATCGGGGCGGGACCGGGCGGCCGCGCCGTGCGGACGCGGGGCGGAGCGCCGGGAACGGGAGCGCGGGCGAGCCCTGCCCCGCCTGCAGAGCTCGGCATCCCTTGCCCCGTGTCGCTGCGGCGGAAAGCGCCTCCTGCTCCTCGGAAAGCCCCTTCCCCGCCGTGTCCCCGGGCTCCGCTGCTCCGGCCCCGCGGAATCCCCGGTGAAGCTTTGCTTTCCTTCCTCCCGGTGCTTCTCACGGCATCGCTGCGGAACCACAGGGCTGCCCCGGGAAGCAAACAGCAGCTGCTCGGGACGAGGGCGGTCCTGCCGGGCTCACACACACCTGCTCCCGGGGCAGGAGGCAGCCCTGCGGCACCGCCCGGTGGGGCACAGCTCCGGGCACGGCGGGGACTGTCCCGGCACGGCGCAGCTCCGTTCCGGCACTGCCTCCCGTTTCCACCCCTTCCCTTGGGACGCTATCAGGCAGTCTATGTTTCCTGATATTCAAACTGAATTTTCACTTTTTACTTCAAACCCATTACGTTCTGTTTACATAGTCAAATCATAATAGCATAAATCATAAATACAATACTGCATTATTAATATTTCCTCCTTTGGGTTTCCAGCTACCAAATATTTAGTCTTATGGCTAACACTTGGTTAAAACCCAAGAAATGAATCAGCTCTCATTTTTATCACCACTAGCTGTAGGGCAGGAGGGAAGAATTTGAAGGTTGTGGTTTTGAGCTATTATTTAGCTTTGAATTGAAATTTTTCATCCTGGTTTTTAGTTTTGAACCAATGTTGGGCAGCAGAAAGTAATCTGGTATACATACTCCTCCTGAAACTGCAAGCCAAACCAAACAAACAAAAATCAAAAAAAAAATCCAGGCACAGTTAGAACTAATCTGACATAGTATAATCACTATTTTCACTTTATGAATTTGTAACCAGGCCCCACTCTCTGCTGAATCAGATCTGAGTTACACAACCTTTATTACAGGGATGCATCCTGTGTTCACAATGCGCTCCTTGCTCAAATAAACCAACCATGTGAGGCCTGATCAGCTCATTCCAAAGAGAAACAGTTGCTTTCCTGAGGGTCCCATTTTTAGGTCTTCATATAAATACTGCAAAGAACCTATCCAAAAAAGTAAGGTTTACTTTTTGAGGCTAGAGTCATTTGGGAAGTCAGGATCCCAGTGATATTCAGATCCCGAAAACAGCAGGATGGCAGGAGCTGCTGGGGTTGCAGAACTCACAGATGTTTTTCAGCCACATCCTGCACCCTCTGGCCCTGGACTTTGCATTTCAGGGCAGTGAAACATCCCTGAGCACAGGACAGCCCTGGCAAGGCTCCTCCTCCCTCCCCAGCTCTGGCACCGTGATGGGGAGAGCCCGGCTCTTTTCTGCTGCAGGGAAGCTCTGCTGTGCCCATGGCCCAGCCCTGCTGCTCCCTGGAATGGGGCCACTGAGAAGGGGCTTCAGGGCTGCACCTTTAATCCAGATTTACACTGTATTTCCAAGAAGGAAAGCAAGCCCCTCTGCTGCTTTTCTTCAGTCCCCCATTCACTGCTGTGCACAGCCAGAGCTGAGGGACAGCCTTGGACAGGGGTTATTCTCTGCTGTGTGGGACAAGTGCTCAGGCTGACCAGAGGATTCCTAAAGGGCTGAGAGCAGCTCTGCCCAGTGACCACTCAGGTTTCAAATAAAAGCTTGAGCACGTTGAGAAAAGCCGCAGGGTGGCCAAGAGAGACAGTGCTTCACAAAACACAACCAGCAATTTTCTCCAGTACAGCAGGGAGAGAGCAAGCACAGCCTTTCAGCAGCTGAGCTCCATTACCTCTGCTGGTGCCACAGCCCAACTCCTCTGTCTTTTCAGCAACGTTTGTACTTGAGTCATAACCCCTGTTACACACTATCACATCAAAATACAAACTGCATCCTCGTCTGCTAAGGCACAAAGATCCCCGTGTGATGGAAATTCAGATTTAAGCACCATGCCAGAGGACATGCTGACATATGATCATTGCAAAGTCATTTAAAGATCACCATTAACCCAAATAGCTACAGTTATACATCTGGGACAATTTTCAATTTACTGGTCATATGGCTCTAAGGACGGATTTCACCCTGAGTTACACAAGCTACGAAAGTCCCTGCTGCACTGTGTATGTCAAAAGGCATTTAGAGAGGAGTGACACATCCCAGATCCCAGTCTGCCATCAGAGACTCGGGACAACACTGAAACATGGGCCATCACGAACAGGGAACAGAGCAAGGGAAAACATCAAAGTCAGGGCCTTGAGACTGCTATGCTGAAGAAAATGTGTCAGCCAAGACAACCTGAGCAGATCAGAGCCTGCTGCCAGACTGCAGGAGTTGGGTGATGTACTCCTTTGGGGCTCCCATGAGATGTATTTCCTCTTTGTAACAATTGTCTTTGTCACTCCCCGATCCTCTTGCAATCTCTTTCCTACTCTGCTACTACCCCAGCTAGCCTCTGTCTGCCTCCAAACCCACTTTTTCCCCCAGAGGATCAGAGCAAGGCAACAGTCACCTCCCAGGAGTTGTGAGCTTTAATTCCCGATTGTAAAATGACCGAAGGGTCTCGCGTCTCGCCAGCCGGTGAGAACAGCATAACTTGCTAGAAACCACTACAGACTTTGTGATACGTGGTGGGGGTGATTCCTGCCCCCAGAGTAACACGTGATTTGCTTTCCCACTGTGTCATTCTCGTGTACTAGCAAGTGACTGCTGTGCAAGTAGGTCAGTAGTACAGCACATTAGACTGAGCTGCTGAGGTTTGGGAACAAAACTGCTCCCTGTCTCTCTGTGAAGTGGTTTAGCATACACAGTAGGGAGTTTTCTTTGAGCCTGCTGTTATAAATCTGAATATCCAACATCTCATTGCTGGGAGGAATTTGGGAACAGGAAGCCTGAGAAGACACACGGGTACGATGCTCCATGGATTATTCGTGCAGTATCTTTGCTCTGATTCCCCAAATATCCCCCAAATATCTGTACCCACTGTGAGAAAAGCTACCTCAAAGCCTCATGGGATGGTACTCTAGAAGACATATACCAGGTTTAGAGACTACTGTCAGTCAAATGAAAGCTCTTTGGTATAGTATGATCACTTGAAGACCATCAACATGTTTTTGAAAGGAAAAAATTTGCCCTGCAAGGCTTGAACTGACTAGTGAAGTCTTTTCAAAATTCCCTTTCCTCTTCTGCCTTGCTCCAAGCCCAGCTGGAGGCAGAGATCTTACCACCTTAAACTCTGCTTTGTATTTTAAATAATATGCCATAGGCTTGGTTCCCTGGCACCCTTCACTATCTTTCACACAGGTGCAAAATGGTCACATTTTGTTAGCCCAAGGACACGAGGTGACTCTGGAGGTGCAGGCTGGGGGTGGGAGCAGCAGCTTCTCAGGAGTCAAACTTCAAACCCATGTAATCCCCTGTGGAAACACATCCCTGAACCACCTGCACCCCGTGGCTGTGTCAGGGTGGGCTTTGCTGGCATTCCCAGGCCAGCCCTGATGGTTTAATCTGAGATGCTGTTAGGCAGCTTGGACAGGGCAGGGAATTGCACTGGGCCGCTTGAGGGGACACCTCACCCTGCAGCGTCCCCAACACATAAAAAAAGGCTCCCTTTTTCCCAAGCAATGAGCATCCAGCATTTCTCTGGGCTGACAGTGTCTGCCTCTCTGTCAGCAGCATTTTCCCAGAGCACTGGACCCCTCCGTTGGGCAATGTGCCCACAGACACCAGCTCAGGACTGGCTGCCCGTGGGGACCTGCCCATGGCACACTCCCCTCCCTCCACACAGATCTGGAACCTAAGCTGCTCCTCACTTGTTATTGTCTTAACTCCAGCAGTTAAAATAAAAGCCCAGAGAAGAAGCCAGCAGGTCTGGTGGCTCAGACTGGAGGTTAAAAGAAACAATTACCTCAGAGTGTCGGTCGAGCAGGCCCTGGGTGTGTCCTCCGCCCTCGCACCTCACGCAGAGCCTGTTCCGCCAGCGCGGGCTGAGGTCAGTCCTGGCCTGAGCCAGGCCGAGGGTCTCCCCTGGTCTGCACACCTGGCACCTGTGACAGGTCCTGCTCCCAGTCACGCCAGAGTGTCCCAGCACTGTCCTGGTCCCTCACGGACAAAGCCTGTGGTGCTGCTCCCAGGATGGCCCCGGTACACCCGGGAGCCTCGGCCTCGCCGGGGCCGCCCATGGCAGAGCTTTCCCTCAGGACTCCCTCTGGAAGCTGCTGCCTTTGTTTAGGTGTGAGACTCCCCTCAGCACCTGCCCTGGGGTGGTCGCTGCTGGCCGTGCCAGCTCAGAGCCAGCACTGGATCCCCAGGACACAGCGCCAGGCTGGGCCCTCCCCGCAGACAGCTCACCGCTCCCCAAGGAAGGAGACACAGCACGTGCTCGTCAGCTACACGGGTCAGAAAATAATTGTATTTCAGTCACATAAAAAAGCTGGAGTCAAAAAGCTGCAAACAGCTCCCAGCTGGAGTTCCCATCAATTGAGAAGGGCAGCGCTGCTGGTGGAGACATTAACGGATTGGTCCTGTGAAGCTTGGGCTTGGAAATTTAACACAACTGTGAATGTCAGGTAAGGCATGTACTGAGCAAGCATCTTCCCTGTGTAACTTATGCAAAGTTAATGAAGCTGGTGTTGGGGCAGGTGAGAACAGAACTGGGCAATCCTTCTTTAAATGAAGCACAGAAATAGAGGTGGACCAGGGAGGAAGGTAAGTAGGGACACAATCAGTCACTCATCACAGACAATGCTTTAGTCATGCAGGGAAAGCAAAGAATTTATTTACATATCTGATTGTACATTACAGCTACCTGAAGGATTCACATCAGCAGGGACAGTTTTATTGTCCCCAAAAAGTATTTCAAGAAAATACAGAGAAAATAGTGTAATGGCACATTGCAACAGTACTGACATCACTTCACTGATGTTATAAATTACAGAATGAGATTTAAAATAGTCATATGCCACTTCTGCTGGCTGCTTTTTTTCAGTAACAATGGAGCAAGTGAACTTTGCTCATTTTCATACCAAGCAGCCTTTGAAATAAAAAATAAAACCACTCCTTGCTTCTATGGCAGCTTCCTATTCTGTGAAATAGGTGTCAAATTCAGTAAAAAAATTTCTGCTCTGTGAGAGTGGAACATATTCTTTTACAGATAAAAACTTTGTTTTTTAAAGATTTAGGGGATATTGATGATTTTTTTCCTTCAGACTTACCACAGTTTATTATCTCACTCTCTGGGGGCTGGTGAGTGGGGTATTGATAAACAAGGTGTGAGAGAGGGAACAATTGTAGGATCTCATCACATGAGCAGGGTCAACACTCCAGAAATGAAACCACCAGCTCGAGAAGAGGTTGGAAGGAGGGAAGGACACTTCTAGCACCAGGGCCCTCGTTGCCACTTACAGATGCCCAGGCTCACAAAGCACCTGCACAGCTTCCCAAATGCTGTGGGAGAGTGCTGTGCTACAAACCCCAAGGGAAAGAGTTTGTTCAGCATCTGCCAAAATGTGAAGAGCAAGACACGCAACCTCTCACATCTGCAAGAGGAATGCAGACCCAGGTCTGTCCTTAGGAAACGCTGCCACAGAAGCCAGGCAGGGAAGACAAGGAGTAACTAAAGCATTTTAGGCACTCTAAGACGGAGAGTCTATCAATTGGTAATGCTATTTCTTTTTCCATTTCAATGGTCAAAGTAAATCACTTGCCTGATCCCACAAAAATAATCCCAGAACAGAAATTAACCTGAAATGAGCAATGTGTTCAAATGAGGTTTTGGTCTGGTGCCCATTTCAAGTATAAAAGGAAGCAAATTTGCTTTAATGGAAATAAAAACTATAATCACCAAGTCAGGACTGTAACATTTAATTAAGTGTTTTATTATTTTGAATTAACTTAAGCCAACAAGTGGGTCTCAAAACAATACTAAAACAATAAATCTGCAGAATGTGTGTGACATTGCCTTACAAGAGACCAACCATCTGACACAACATTCCTAAAAGAAGACAAAGAACTGCTAATTATGTTAAATTTCATTTGCTACGTAATTTAGACCATGACCTAGTGCTTCTAAAAAAACCTGTACAAAATGAATATTTTTTACATCTCAGAGGCACATGAATACAAATCTGATCTATTTTATATATACACATGTACATTACAAGAAACCAGATGATTAAAGAAGTGTATATAAAAAGTGTCCAAAACCAGATGATAAAATGTGAAAATAAAATGTATCTTCACAAGAGAGAAGTAAAAGGCACAAGTACTAAAATATGTAACCATGCAAAAAAAGTGACTAGTCTGTGCAACAGAGAAAAACAAATGGCTCTCACAACGGATTTTACAGTAATTCTCAAAATGTCTCAGCATTTAAATATATATCAGTGCAACATTTACTGCCCTGTAGTGTACTGAAGTATTCACAGGATACTAAATTCTTGGTTCTCCTTCTGATGTCCTTTCTCCAAAGTCAGAATAATTTAGCTATGGATAAAGTAGTAAATAAATCAGGGCTGATGCTGGGGAGTGTGAGTTCCTCACTGGGAGGAGGAGTGTCTGCAGCCCCCTTAGCCCTGCACAGATGTGTCCCCCAGAACAGTGACAGCAGAGCCGACAGCTCAGGTGGCACAGCTGCTCCACTCACAGCACCTCCATTCCAGGGCTAAGCTGTCCAAATTACATGCAGAAGGCCATGTTTGCTAATGTTTTCATTAGGTTTAAAGTTTAAGTAAAAACGAATCAGTCTAACAGTGTGTTTGAGCAGGTCCTGCTCTTGCAGCCGAACAGAAGCCCCAGTGAAGGCAGCAAGCTGAAGCGCAGAGAACACCAGGAGCCGTCAGCTGGCTCCACACTGTGGCAAGCTGTGGTAGCCCTGCCTGCAGACGGTGCCTGCAGATCCTCAGGGGCTGCTGCTGTGAGCTCTGCCCTGTGCTGGCCACGCTGAGCTGCAGCCTGAGCCTCCAGAGCGTCAGCAGAGCGTGCAGTGGGACAGCTGCACAGACCGAGGCACATCCCAGGATCCCTCCCCTGGATCACCTACTCACCCTACCTGCTTGTATGCCATGAGAACCAGCTACAACGTTTTGTCACGTACATGGGACACAACCACAAAAAAGGCAAGGACAGGACTGGCCTGGTATAAAGACAGGACTGAAATTCTTGCCTTGGTAGCTAAGGTCACCCTGAAGCCAAGAATATTGAATTTGTCCCTCCCATCTGCTCAAAGTTCTGCCCCAAGGCACACACTCAGTGGTAGCTGGGGAAAAGACCAAGAATGTAAATGTCAACAGAATGCTGAGGCCCCAGAAAGAAACAACTCTCTTGCACATCAGACCAACTCCCAGTGCACTATGCAGAATGACAGGATTCAGACCCAGCACTGACTGCAATCTTCATCAAACTCTAAAGCTACATGCAGAGTTTCATTAACTAGAAACCTATGCATGATTTAACAGCAAACTGCTCCTAGGATCATTATTTTGAATTCAAAAATACTGAGATGCAAAGGAACAAAATGTCAGAACTGTGGTACTATGTTGTCTAAAACCAACCAGTCATGACTTCTTGACAGTATTTCTTGATTAACAAATGACTTGACATGAATATGAGCATTGCTGCTTACAGCAGGAGCTGCTCAGTTAAAGTCTGAGTCAAGTTTTTACTTAAATCAGTATAAGCCAAGCCACTGATTTGGCAAGTGTTTGATCAGCTGCTACTTCCTTCCTTCCTTGGAAAAAAATCCCTCAGACCACACCATACAGTATTTGTTTTAAGAGAAAACCACTGCATATTCACTGCCATTAAAGAATGTAAAAACCCCATTATTTTATTTGTAAATTCTAGTTTTTAGACTCATCACATGTCACGGGCACTGTGATGCACAGACCAGTGAGCAGTGCCTCATGTAGAGCCCACAATGTGTGTTTATACATCAGCTCCAAGCCCTCATTTCCAAGCCAGATTAGGGAGCCTAAATACTGTCGGTCTAGATCCTCTCTGGAGAGCAATGCAGTTCTACCAAAGTAAATGGAGCATTGCTGCACTCAGACAGAAAAATATTTGTTGATACACATCTTTGAGAATTAATAATGCTGTGTTCAACTCCCTACAGAGCTGGCTGAGAACTATCTGAATTTTTTCCCAAAGACCGTGAAAGGAAAGTTGGCAACAAAAGTTCATTGCATGCTGGGTTTCTTTGAAACTTCCTACACATTTGCATATTTAAAATTCCTTTAAAATAGATGGGATAGTTACAGTTCATCAATGTTGCATTTAAAGAAAAATTCTTTAACAGCTTCAGTCTTAAACAGAAGCTATTCAAAAAGCTGAAAAATTGTCTTTTGATATCAAAGCAGTTTTGATTCAGCATCATTCTGAAATCAGAACTAGGCAGCAGCTGAAGACGAGTCTGGAGGGAAGCAGCCAATATCAGGTTCATCAATGTTGCATTTAAAGAAAAATTCTTTAACAGCTTCAGTCTTAAACAGAAGCTATTCAAAAAGCTGAAAAATTGTCTTTTGATATCAAAGCAGTTTTGATTCAGCATCATTCTGAAATCAGAACTAGGCAGCAGCTGAAGACTGGAGTCTGGAGGGAAGCAGCCAATACCAGAAAAAAAATTGAGAGACTACATTTCAGGTACTCTTTAAGTGCAAGTTTTGAAAGAGGTAATTTTTCTGCAGTACCTTGTGTGGGATTAGCAGCTTCTAGCCAAAAGCCAGTCTTTTTTTTTCCACTGTCCAGAAATACCTGTAGTGGTTTGCAACAGGTTTGTCCAGAATATCATTTAGCTTTTCAGAATCTAAGGTCAAATGAACCAAGGAACAGATCAAGATACAGTAACTGGGATTGTTTGCATTCCCAAGGGTTAAATGTAACCTTGGGTTTGACACAGGAGTGTTCACTGCATCTGTGTATTGCTAGAAGGAGATGATACCACGTTTCTGTGTCTGAAGTGATTTACCCAGCTTTTCAGAATCTAAGGTCAAATGAACCAAGGAACAGATCAAGATACAGTAACTGGGATTGTTTGCATTCCCAAGGGTTAAATGTAACCTTGGGTTTGACACAGGAGTGTTCACTGCATCTGTGTATTGCTAGAAGATGATACCACGTTTCTGTGTCTGCAGTGATTTACGAAGGGAAGGGAGGCCCTTGTTCCACCAACAGTAACACTGACAGAGGCAGGCTGTACTTTTCTGGCCAGCCTGAGAGAACAAAGGATGTCCACAGCAAAGAAGTAAGAAATTTATCAGAGAACAGACAGCAAAGTTGTTGCAATTGGGGAGACACTATCTCCTGTCTGTTCTGCCAGTGTCTGACACTTGATCAAATTATGCACTCTCTGCAACACTGGTATCAGATTACTCTTCTCCCTGCCCCAGTGAGCCATCAAGTGATCCTTTATTACCAAATTACCTGCATGTCATAAAACACAATGACTTCTTTTCTGGGATAAAAGGGTTCTCCAGGGCTTGAATTGCAAGATGAGTTGGTCTAATATCTGCAGTTACTCAGTCTAAGAATGCAATTGCTAATTAGTATTTTTAGAGGTGGATACCTTAGAGGAAAATATATCTGCCAGTGAAATGCCTCTCCCACCTCCAACTCACATTATTTGTCAAACACAGTAAGTATCTGGATATGATTTCCACAGTAACAGATGGCAGTACCACACCAAGGGCCCCACAGGAGCAGATACCTCCTTTACACAATAAAACACGGCTACAAACACCACCAACATGGTGGTAAGACATCTCTTCAAATGCAAACACTGGAGCAAGGAAGAGTTTCTAAATACTTACACAGCTGGGTACAGAGCTGAACAAGAAGTCCTGCAAGTTTTAAGAAATTTCCACTGCTGAGTACCCTTGGCTAGAACATTCCTTTTGGGATATCAGCCAGATTCAGTGACTACATGTCACTACTAGTGACTGTTCACCTCCTACATACAACAATCACAAAAACTGCACAAAAACTTGGCTTTCTTTATAGTAATGTCTTCTGTTCAAGTCCACAGGCTTTGCTTTCAGTGCAACAGTCCTCAACATTTGCTGATGTTCCACCCTAATGGGAATGGGCTTTAGATCACAGAAATTTTGAAGCAGAGTCCAATTTACTTAAAAATAATTATGGGAAAACATTCAGTCACCAGCCTCAGCTGCAACAGCTTCACTCTAACTGAAATCCACTGCATGAGAGCAGGACAGCAGTGCAACACAGCCAGCTCCAGAAGCAGGGCTGCTGTGTCACCCAGCCCTGCTGGTCACAACAGGTTTGCAACAACCTCCTGACAGTGCAGAAGAGTTCTCTGTGGCCTGCAAAAAGAATAAAGTCTCTGGCACTACCCACAAAGAGCACCAGGCAGAGGGAAATGCCACCACTGAAGTGCAAGTGAGGAGTCCTGCAGGCAGGAAGCACCGAGCTCGCTGAACTGTTCCTCTCCCACCTTCTGGGCAGCACATCCAGAAGCAGCAGCAGGTGGGAAAGGTGGATGTGTGGGCTTTCCATGGGGTTCCACCTACTTTCTAAACAAACAGAAGCTGCTGCAGTGTTGCATCTTACACCATTCCCAGGTAATTTCCTCCAACTACCCCAGAGCCTCAGGAAGCCAGCCCTGTGTTTGAACCAGCCTGTCCCACTTCTCCCAGAGCACTGCAACCTTTGTGCACTGGGTGTTGTGTCCCCCAGTCATTCCTCTGGTTCCTCTCTCTTTCCACTTACTTTACACCTACCTATGCAGATACATAGAAACAAACTGGTTTTATTTTCTTGCCTTCAAGAAAGCCTGACTTCAGTACATCCCCTGCTTCCCATCACTCCAGTAACACATCACTGAAGGCAAGAGCACAGAGATTGCAGAAAAAAATATATATTTACATCCCTAAATGAATACAGTTTTATGTATTCAAATTCAGGAAAAATGCATCACATATACATACCGAGAAACATCAAGAGAATACTAGGGGCAAGACACTGCCAACAGCAAGAAATACACAGAAAAGCACAGTCATTGCTACTGTAACATTCTTCTGGGGAGTGTATTCAATAGAGGAAACATCTCTATGCACTGGGGAAAGCCAGATACTCTGGCTGATTTTTCTGTGCCAGTTGGTGTGAATCAAAAGTGTGAAATTTTTACTTTTAAAAAAAGTGCATGGAATAAAATTTGCTTTTAGCATTCAATTACCCAAATAATTCCATAAGCTCCTTATATAAGCTACATTATTAATTAAAAACATCCTAGCCCTACAGTATGGATCCAGCTCTGGAGAACACAGGCACATGTTGAAGTCATCCCTATTTAAGGCAGCATTTAAGCATACACTCAACTTTAAAGCTTAATGTTCTGTCCCACTGACATCCATGAGCAGATGCAGTACACACTTCAAGTTAAGCACCTGCACAACTGCTCATCTAAACTGGGATGTGCTCCCTACTCAGAGCTTTGGATATGCACATGTGTATGCACATATGGACTGGCAACTCCTGCAAGATGAAGCTCTTTTCTTTTTCTTTTTCCTGCCCTACAGGTAGAAGCCACTCTGTATCAGACTGTCCTCCACTGCTGTGCCAGGACCAGCAGTTCCTCTGCACAGCCCACCCAGAAAATGCCATTCCCAAAGGAGTGCAGCTGTCTGGGGTGGGAAAGCAACTCAGCACGTCATGTCGAGGGCTGGTCCTCCTCCTCCCCCTAAGGTGAGATATTTCATGCAAATACTTTTTGTTCTGTTTCTTTTTTGTGTTTTTTTTTTAAGAACTGGAATGTGTTCCTTCAGGGAAATCTTTAAAATCAGGGTGAGGGGAAGGGGAAGAATCCCAGAATTCATCTTAATGGCCCATAATACACCCCTGAAAATAGGGGAACAGATTTGAAACCTCTTTGCCTCAATGCTACAGGAACCCTGGCATAAAAAAACACACATGCACACACACTAGATAGAGAGCAGGCTCAGAGCATCTGAAAGCAGGCTCCAAAGTGATTTTACATGAAAAACACTTGGTGTTGACAGTGGCAAACAAATGGATGGTGATTTTTCATAAATAGCAAAAATTCTGCAGTATCTTCTTTCCTTCCCATTTACTTTGTGTCTTTTCCCAAATTTTGTGGGGTTTCGTTGTGTTTTTGGGTGTTTTGGGGTTTTTTGTTAGTTTGTTTTTAATCTGATGTGTGGTTTAAGTACTAAAACTAAATAAAATAGGAAATTACACAGTCAGCACCAGTCAGGAACTGAACCTGGGTATGTCAATTGGCTTGTGGTACCCAAATTCCAGGAAGAACAAAGAAAAAAATTCTTGCTCCTAAAGTTAGGGCCACATCCATATGTTTCCATTGTCTATTTTTACCTTTACAACTAGAGGTAGAGTCATTTTGTCCAGTATCTAAAACAGCATGATCCAGTTATATTGTTATTACATTAATATACAGTATCCATCTCATCACAGGTATTGAAAGTGCATGGAAAGTCTAACCAAGCCAATTCAATGACAAATAACAGTGTACCAACATCATATAACACACCCGTGCACCCACACTCACACCTAGTGTGTATTATATAATTTATAGATTCATTTACAGTATCGGAGTGCTGCTTAGATCCAGTGGCATGTGCAGAAATATCAGGCAGTTGCTGCTTTTCCTTCTCATATTCTCTTCAATTCTTTATTTCCAAGATAGATGGATTGTGGTCCAGGATTGCCAAAATTATCTTGTCCATATACTGTCGCAATCTGTAATTTATCTCTTCCTGTTCTTTGAGGGCTTCCATGAGCTAAAACACAACATTTCCAAGTTACTCCTGAAATATTCTCAGTAATTTATGTAGCAGCCTGAAACTGAGACAAGTGAGAGACCAGTGCCTGCTCAGGATCACTAATTCCTTTTGTGACACATTTTCTAAATCCAGCTCCTCCCTGTATCTGTATTAGAAACAATTCTGTATGTTACAGGTCTTTGCTATCAAAGAAGGTGCTGAACAGTCATCTCCAGGGATCTTCTGGCAGGTCATTTGAAACAAGTTCCCCACCTAACATGCCAATCCATCCTGCATCCATACCATGGATCAAATGCTTCATCTCAGAGCAAGGGCTTCATGATACTCTATATTTCATAACTACTGAAATCTAAAGTTGTTTGCATGAAAGGCTGCTGAACAGAACAAATATTTCAGTGTTTTGCACCAGGAAAAACTTGTGTTTCCTCTGGATCATGTGCATACTCTCTCTCAAAAAAATCCCCAAAACAACCACTACATACTCCACAAGAACAACCCACTTGCTATTCAATGTTCTGTATTAAACACATGTGTTTCACCAGATTTTTGGGCTGTAGAAGGCCCCTCAACCTCTCTACAGTTGAAGACTGCTTTGCTTTTTATCTCAATGTTTAATGCCAAACTGAAAAAGCTGCCAAGGCATGTCAGAGCCCCCAATCCTCCTAAAGCTCATGTTACTTGCCTGGCCATTTTCATAGGACTTCACAGAAGTCCCACCCTGAATCTGCAGATTGTTACCTCTGTTCTGATCATGCAGGAAAAATGGCACAATGGGAACAGTTTGTGCAGGTCTGTGACGTTTTGCTGAGTCTGGGCCACAGCTTTCAGGTAGTTTCCTCCTTTAAAGAGGGAGTGCTGGATACTCCTCACATGAGCCAGAGCCACGAGACTGAGAGGGACAAAGTCAAATTTTTCTTGACAATAGCAAAAGCCAGTTTGCTTTTACCTAATTAGAGCTCCACAAGTAAACAGCCTTTCTTCACAGTGCTCTGGTTCAGCAAGAAATTAAGTTCTCAAATATATGATTCAAGGGCCTTCACTTCAAGGGCCTGCCCAGGAGCTAAGGCTGACAGGTCAGTCCAGTACAGACTGGGTAGAAAGGACTTTTCTGTCTCACAACTTTTCTTGATGAAGAAATGGGAAGTTCTGTCTGGAAAAGATAGAGCATCAAGGACAAACCATTCCTTTGATCTCCTTCACCACTAACCTGTCTTCTTCCCTGGGAGCTCTCATGTATCCACTGGCCTGATCTCACAATCTGTCCTGGAGCTCAGAGGAAGCTACACCAGCTGGACTCAGCCCACATACAAACAGGTTTCCCAGAATATCTTTCAAACACTACCAAGTTATTATTTGCACAGAAGTTACTTTCTCCAAGAATTCAGCTCTGCTACAGGGAATATATAGTTCAAATATATAAGTGAGACCTTGTTACTGAAGTAACATAGACCTAAATCTAGAACAGAAAGTAAAAATTTAAGTAATAGCAATGGCCATTTTTGTATGAAATTAATATCATACTTTCACATTACTCTGCAAGGTACAAGATGTTAGAACTGCAAAACAGTTCACGGTGATCCTAATAATTCAAATTCTTTTGAGAGAGAAATGGGAGAGTTATAACATAAGGATACCAAAATAGTGTTAGATTTAAGGTAATCTTCTAACATCCTTGAACTCTTAGCAAAGCAGAATTTTCTGCTGTTCATTTGTCAACTTCAGATAGGTCAACCTCGACAGTCAATTACATTGAAAATTCTTGGATGTAATATCTGATTGCTGATTAGAAAAGCACATTACCTCATCTCTTGATGCAGAATCGATTTCAGCAGCCAGTGACTGGGCTTTTGTTTGTGTTGCAAAGAGATTTTTAGCTTCATAAAGACTGAGGCTTAGAATCTGTCCATTAAGATCATCATTTTGGTCACGAAGTTTCTGATTCTCCTATTCAAGGATGAAAAGACATGGTCTTTTAAGTTCTTCTTTCATTAAAAAAATATTTTAACATCACAGGTAGCCTGGATGACACAGTGAGGGTGAAGCTGCCACAACTCTTACCTCCAGTGACAAGGCCTCCCTGCCTGAATTTTCCTGGGGCACAATTTACATCACCAGTGCAAAGAAGTTCTGCATGGAAGCAACAAGGCTCTTGTGCTTGTGTGAGAAAGGGGGGACAAAATCTCAAGGCAGAGTACTTGGGCTTGCATTTTTCAACGTATTCCTGTACATTTGATGTAGATTGAGAGGCCTTCCCTGCTCACCTGCTTCAGCCGTTTTATTTCATGCTCCATTTCCACCTCTCTGGTTTTGGCGTTGAATTCACTCAGGCTGGAGGAAGAGCTTCTCCCGCGCCCAGGACGTTCACATTCCAGCTTGTAGAGCTGCAGGTGCTCCAGCTCCTTCCGCAGGTCTTCGATGAGCTGTGGGCAGCAAAGAGGCCCTGTCTGTGCAGCCCTCCCTGCAAACAGCCCCCTCTACTCCAGCAGAAGCACTCCCTGAGGCCACAGTCCTACAACACAGCCTCTTCCTCTTCCTTTGCAAGCACAGGTCCCCTAAACAGCCCCAGAGCTGGCAGTGGCTGTGATCACTAAGCTTCATGCATGAGAAGCATAATTTCCCTTGCAAACAGAGGGAAACGTTAGGGCACACACCTCTCCAAGAGCTGTAAGCCTTTGGGTCAGAGATTGGCACTTTTTAAGTATTCTTGCAGCATTCATTGCTCTCCGGGCACCCTTCCCACAGAAACACAATCCAGCAACAGCTTGACTGGACATGGTGTTCTCAGTGCTCATCCTGTCTGCCCATTCCTTCTCACCAGGGCTTCTATACAGGTGATATGAAACTGCCTGGTCTTGCATCCCTCTTCACACTTACCTCCTGCGTGGCTTCCCTCTCCTTGTTGAACTCCAGCCTGTTCTGCCGCAGCTTGTCCATCATCCTCTTGTACAAATCCATCTCATCCTTCAGTCGCAGGCTTGTGTCCTCCAGTCTGTCTGACATGCGCTGCCTCTCCTGGAACGAGAGGGGCACTTCAGAACAGGGGCACCCCAGGGGCACTTCAGAACAGGGGCACCCCAGGGGCACTTCAGAACAGGGGCACCCCAGGGGCACTTCAGAACAGGCTGCCAGGAGCAGGACACAGCTCAGCTTCACAACAGGAGCTACAGGCACAGCTGGCCATAAACTGCCTTGTGTCTCAGGATGTTCCTGCCCCTAAAGGCGACCAGTGTTCCAATTTCATTAATAATCTTGTTTAGGGAAGGAAAATTTAAGAAGCTGGGCCAAGCACTGTAAGAGTTTGCTCTTACATAAACTGCTGTTAAATTGCTCAAGGACTCAGGAGTTTTGTTACCTCATCCAATCTCTCTGTTTGGGATTTCAGCCGTGTGACAGTGCTTTTCAGATCACCATTTTCTTCTTCCAGTTGCTGAACCCTGTGTTAATAACAAAAATCTTACAGCAAATACCTCTTCAAGAACATAGACATGCACAATAGCATGCTCTAAAAAGCCATCTCACTTGCAACTTGATACAAAGACCAAACAGGGAAAATCTTTCTAATCACAGCACTTTTTAACGTGCATTTTTGCTTGTTCAGTTCTAAGGCCCAAAATGCTACACTGACCCTCACATTCTTGTGCTCCTAACAACAGGTAGATGAAAAAACATAAGTTGTAAAAAACAAATGCAGGCACAAACGTTTGCTAGAACTGGTCACAGTTCCCTCCTTGAGTCTGTGCCAAATATCCAGTTAAGCTGTGTACATGGGCCACGTGGATTAAAGCATTAATGTAAAGCATCCTCCAAGCTTTTGGGCATTAGACATGTGACTGCAGAGCTACTCTACAGAGCTGCCAACCTGCCACCATCTGTGCACTGCCTGCTGGAGAACAGCCTGCATTTACAAGCAAAGTAAAAACAAAGAAAAGCAGACCTTTTGCCCTGTTCAGAGGGGCATCAAGATGTTTATTACCTTGTATTTAGCAGTTCAATTTCAGTGCCTTTCTCTTTTTCATACTTGCTGTAAGCTTCTCTATGTCTCTTTATCTCTTCTTCCAGAGTCTGTTCTGCTGAAGTTTCTTGGTCTTTCAATAATTCTTCTAGCTCATGAACTCTAAGGAAATAAGATCTCATTTAAGTAACAGCTTCAGAAGCAAATTCATTGCCTCTCTCTTTCCTGCCTACTCCTTTGTTTCATTCTAATTCACCATCTATTTTGGCATTTAACCTCTCCCAGTATCTCTCATATTTACTAATAAACACAGAATTAAGCAGTATCAGTTCATCTAGTACTCCTTCAGTCTCATGAAGCTGAGACTAAGACCCAGCCTTCTGCTCTTGCAAGGAAAAAACCCCAACCACCAGGAGTAACCTCTCTTACAGCAGAAGAGTTTTTTTCTGTTCAAGTCAGTAACATCTCTGTCAAAAACACTTGTCTGCAGGCTTCTTCTTGCTGAAAATTCAGCAAGGCAGCCCTATTCCACCCGGACTTCTCAAATGAACCCTTATTTCATCTGTCAGCATTAAGGAAGAAGACTTGATCATACTCTAGAGGTAGAAATATTCCTTCCCCACAACTGTGCTGGCGAGGAGACCTGGCTCTGTGCTTTGTTACCTGTGAACCAGCTGAGTGTTCTCTTGTTTCAGTTTGCTCTTCAGGTCACCATTTGTCAGGCTATCGTTCTCCAGTTCTGTCACCTTCTTCTCTAGGTACGTTACCTGGAAGGACAAGCAAAAAAGACTGAGTTGAATCTCTCTTCAAACACCCCTTCACTGTTCCTAACTGCCATTTAGCCACTCTACCATTTTAAAAGGGGGCATATTTCTCTGCAAAGCCAGCAACAAAATTAAGCTCCACACTTCTGAGTTCCCCAGACCCTGCATGTTCCTTGAAGGTGATCACTGCAAATACTCCATAAAGAAGTCCTAACACAATGCCTAGATCTGTGCTTGCTCAGTTCTTGTGTTACTGCCAAGCAAAGTTGTAATAGTAATGAAACATCAAGGACATTTTGAAATAAGCTACTTCAGATCATGGGCAATTCTGAGCAAGACCTCGATCCCCTGATACTGAGCTCCAGCAGGATTGGCTGGGTACATTACTCACAGGGCACAGAGATTCTCACCTTTTCAGTGATATCATTATCACACGAGTCTATACTGTCTCTGAACAAGTCTTCTGTGCTGCCATTACTGCTGCTGAAGTTACTGTTGTGGAAGAGTTGTCTGAAAGATCAGAAGGATCATTATTTTGCTTGATGAGGAGGGAGGACAAAGAGTCTGGCTTCAGACGTTGAACATCCATGGTAAAATGTGTGCAATCATTTCAGTGATAATTACAACTGTTTAAGCCCAAGTCTTACAAGAGACTGGTAGCTAAATGAAGTCATACTGAGCACAGTCAATGACATTAGTTCTATGGAGTGAGTTCTTTGTTGCATTTGATAGGATCTGCCACTAGCATTAACATAGTTTTAAAAATACTTAAGTCTTATTCACACTAAGCACTGAATCATATTTGCCTTATTACAAATTTAAAATAAGGTCACCACTGCACATTGGTTGGTACAGTTAAGCTAGAAAATTTCATACAGTAAGAACTTCAAAAAACCAGAAAAAATGAAATATCAAGCAGTTCCCACTGCAGAAGAGAGTCAGAATATGTAACACTGGAGATTATCTAAAACGTCCTTGAACCTTACAGCCCCCCCAGACCAGGGCTGGTTCACTCAATCAAAGGAAGATGACAATTCTGTATGTCCTTTTTAAAGGGGTGCTCCTGCTTTCCGTCACATTTTGGCAACAGCAGCAAGGCCCACATTATGAGGGTTAAAGAAGCAGTAGCTGGACTGATGAAATAGCAGTACACAGGAATACATTTGGCAGACAAGGAAGCAAAAACTATCTATATTTTTAACAGAGCTGTTTTCCAGTTCAGGAGCCTGCTCCAAGAGTAACAGGGGCAACATTCATACCCAAACACAGGCCCCCTCCCTTAAAAACTTATTTTGGTACATTTTTGTTTTTCTAAAATTATTCCTACTTTTGTCTCCCACTCCCACTTATGGAATTGTTATGGCTGATTCCACAAATATTCATACAAAACTTGTAGACTCTTACCTTCCAAAAGCTGTGCTTGATATTTTCCTGTTAGGGCTACATGGATACAGAAGGAATGATATAGGAATTAGACACTTATTTGATTCAGTTTCAATTGCACAATGAAATATAATGGACTTTTTTAGCCTACTCAAAAGATGATTCTGTAAAACAATATTCTTTAACAACGGAATCAAAAGCTGCAATTACTAGGAACGCAAAGATGAGTGAAGCCACAAATTACTGTGATCATTAATAAGTCAATTTGCAAATACTGTTACATGTAGCAGAGATTTGTCAGTGTAAATCAGAGAATCTAACATTAGAAACACCACAAAGGGACACCAAGTTAGTGATGGACATTTATTCTGGATTTCCAGTTTTTAGATGATTTTATGAACAGTTAGTTTATCCTTCCCCATAACGCTTCCCAGTTCAGCACAGGAACTGAGGTCTTTCCATTTTTACAGCTCCCTTATGCAGCCAGAGACTGGTGCTATCTAAATGAAGACCCCTTGCTGCACACAGCACTGGAACCAGACCAAAATATCCTGCTGCATGTCTCGGTAAGAGGATGTCACATCTCTGTGTGCACACACACAGCTCTTGGTCAGGCATTTCCTGCCTCCCTTGGAAAATTCCCAAAGCCCTGGCTGGCCATGGTCTGGATGTTGGCAGACTCCTTGCTAGGGCAGGAACATTGTTCATGGCAAGTTCCACACTGCTGTGCATCACGAGAAGCAGCAGGGCAGTGTGCTCCGTCCCAAGGATTATGCCAACAGGCAGGACTCACATCCAGTTTCTAGGGGGAGCTAAAATCCCACCAAATAATTCCCTTCAAAAACTCTAGGTGATTGTTAGAAGCACTTTCTAAGTGCTCAGCACAGCTTAGGAGCAATGGAGTGGCAGAGAGAGAAACGTAAGGAAAAGGCTGAAATTGTAAAGAACTCCAAAAATAATTTCTGCCATAGAATTTATCATTTTTCAAAGTTTTGCTGACATCACAAAAAAAATCCCAGAGAAGCCAAGTACCTCTGCTGACCAGTAGCTTTAGGAGAGGTATATGTAGGGTTATGTGCATTAGCCAAGGATCTGGAGATCCCTCCTTCCCACCTGGAGAAAGCAGGAGCTAACTGTAGATCTGCACTAAGCAGCACAGTGGAGCCCACTTCCTGAGAAAAAATCCTTGAAATATCATTCTCACTCTGCAATCAAAGAGCTCATTGGTTAAAATATTTGAGTTTAGCAATGATATCTGCACCTTAAATAAGAAAAATATTTAACAGCTGATGAAGAAAAGCATTTTGATTTAGGCTACATATGCAAGTCTAAATTTCTTACTGTTTTGTAAGAACACGTGTAAGATGGAATGGGACACAGAAGGGAAAGGGCTTCCTCTCCCTTTCCTCCCGCTATCAGCCAGTCCCATGTCAAGGGGGCATTGCCAAAAGCAGTGCAATAGGCTGCTTACCTGTTTGCTTTCAAGTTTTTCAGCCTGGCTTCCAAATCGTTGAGGAGATTTATCTTTTTGCAGCACTGTGAGCAGTAAACATCCAGTAACTCGCTGTTATAAACATGTCTCATTTTTCGGGGGGTTTGGCCAGCACTGTTTGCAGGAAAGGAGAGATGTTACTGGCTGTAGTAACCAACCCACAACAGGTTCTCCTCGTGACTGTGTGTCAGAATCACAGATGAGGGACTTGAAGAACCATCTCTAATCACAGCTCATCTATGTCAGAGCTGATGATGGCGAGTGCTACTCTTAGGGTAAGTCCACCTGAGCTGAGGCCTTCCAGAGGATGTGGATGTTTCTGGGTGGCTGTGTAAAGAATCAGTTTGGGTGACCAAAAGAACAGCAAAAGGTACATGTGGTCACTGTGATGCACATAGCAAAGGCAGCTACAGGAGTATATTCAGCCTCAGCAATGCTCCACTCTCATCTTGCCCATCTTCCCACTAGAGCCTGGCATGCAACCTGAAGAGTCTTCTCTCCAAGAGAAAGGCAGGAATATGAAGAACAGTGGTCTGGTAGGAAGTCACATGAACCCCCTCAGATGATAGGATGATAGGAACTCTGGAATGAGGAGGAAGGGAGAAGTGGACACAGGTCTACAGAGGAGATAACAGTACCTCTTGGCATGATAAAGAGAAAATAAACTCAAATAAAATACAGCAATCATGGCATGATGTGCACTGAGCCCCAGGAATGAGAATGAAAGTGCTGCATAAACCTGAGGAAAGAGGGGATGAAAGACACGAGCCATCACCATGAAGGGGCAGTGGAGAGGGGTCTGGCTTTGCATGCAAGAGACGTGGCCAGGCTGGATTGCAGAAATGCTGGAAGCACAGGGAGCACGTGGGGCTGCATGCAGAACAGAAGGATGCAGTGAGCTTGTCCTGCACTAGCGATGAAGACAAGACCTCCATGGGCTATTGATCCAAGCAGACTAATCCTAGAGAACCTTCATGCTCAGCTCTTCCCAACCCTGCTCACCCACTCCCTTGCCTGAGGGAACGACTGGACAATCTGGACCTGCCTTGGCCACAAGACCTAAGAGCTGCAGAGACTGAGGATACACACAGAAGGCAAGGGCACTGCTGTGGATTTGTTGCTCCTAACAGACAGCAGCTACTTGCTTATGTTTCCCAAGACATTCCAAGTCAATAGGATGCTTGTTTCAAATAACCCCCTGAAGATATTGCAGCAGTTCCCCTCACAGATTAGTGCTAAGGATTTGCAGTATCAGAATGCTAAACGGAAACAGCTCTCTTGTAAGTCTTCACTATAGCAGGGTGGGTACATAATGCTACATTGGTTTCCTTTGCAGCAAATCCCTTCCAATACTAGCCCTGAACTGAGGAATTATTGTCTGCACTAGAAAGAAATCTTTACAAGCGAAATAGCCCAGTTATTTCAACAGAACCCAACAGAGGTTATCAGAAACAACATATTTGCTATAGCTCTTATTATTACATGCAGTCTGTCAATTAGAAGGCAGGAAATGAACTGATAATATTTTGCTTTTAAGGTGAGTCTATCTAACCAGTGTAAACTCTGCTATGGTCAGAGAAGAATAAAAATGAAAATTGTTTGTTAATGAATAAGAAGCAACCTGGAAGATACAGATGAGCCAAGGTCAGAGTAGGCGTTGGTTCTGGTCTCATCATCAGGACATGGGCTACTGGGAGTAAAATCCACATCATCTCCTTCCCCATAGTCTTCAAACTGTTCTTCATTACTGATCAGGGAGGCGGTGGAATAAGTGGAGAGGTCAGATGCTGCAGAAGGGTTGTGAGGACTTGACCTGAAACAAGAGGTCAAAACATCTCGAAGGCCGACTTTGACAGCACCTCACCTCACATGGAACCTTCCACCTTCACAGGCTGTCCCCTCCTTGAAGCTGTAAACCACCTTTGTGTTAAAGCCCTGAAGTGCTAAATGTACCTGATATGCAGCTGGCAGTGTGCCTTGAGAAACAAGAGCATGAGAATCTACCAACAAGGTACCTGTGTGATAAGTTTGGATCAACACAAACCATTTTGTTTTAGAGAGCACACTTTGATGATCCTCAGCCACCACTTCCATGTGAAGACCACATGGGGATTTCTGCTCTGAATGCAGGAACCATGCAGACAGCTCTGAGATGCATGGGATAGTGAGAGGAACGTGTAAAAGGCAGAGGCTGTCACTCTATTCCACAATCAGAGAGTTTCCCAGTAATTCAGATACACCCTCTCCCACACCCCAGCAATTCCAGCCACTCTCCTCTGTGTGCTCAGAAAGAAACCTCTGCTCAGCATTTACCAGAGAGTCACTAAAGCTACTGAAGTGACTAATGGAGGCTGGGGTCCTGCCCTTCCTTCCATCAGGACAAATTCTGTCTTGCAGAGGAGATATGGACCACAAGAAAAGGCTGTCTAGCTACCAAAAAAGTACCTAAAATGATGTTAAATGGGTAGGGAGTAACAGGACCCAGTGACTTCAGAGAAAGAGGGCACGTAAGTAAACAGACCAGCAAAGTCAGGCACCACAGGAAAGCAGCTGGCAGAGCAGTTTTGAGCACATCAAATCCAATAAAACAGAGCAAGGTGGCTGCAGAGGGTACACAGGGTTCACCTGCCCAGACTCCAGACTGCCCTGTGCAGTGCACCTGCAGAGTGCAGGTGTTTTACACAATTGCTCAGCTCCTAGCTTGGTGAGGCAGTCAAACAGACAAGCCAGTAAATTCACAAAAAAAGTTCTTACAAACAAACTTCTCTCTGCAGAAAACACACCTGGAAGACCTGAAATAGATGCTTCATTTGTGAGGCCCTGGCATTGCCTAGCTGCTCTCTCTGCAGCAGAGCCCAAGGCCTCAGCAGTACAGACCAAGCACTAATGGACTCTGCTGGCACTTTATGCAGATTGGGTTAAGTTTTTCTCTCCCTCTGCTTCAGTGCACAGTGCTTGTATCTCCAGCTCCACCAGCTGAGCCATGGGACAGTAATTCCCAGGTGACATTGCTCTCCAGCAGCTCAACAATATTTCCTCCTAAACTTCTTCTGAGTCTACCTGGAGCCTCTCAAGCTCTCTACAGGGAGAGTCCTCTTCCTGCAATTCTCCACTTGTGAGCTGTAAACAAGAGATGCACCAGTGCTCCTTCGGTGGATGGTGCAAGCATCATTTGCATATCCCTTCCCTCCAAAAGCAATTAGTAGAAGAGGAAGCCTGCCAACATTTCAGATGTATGCTCTTTTGTTTCCCCTGTTTCGATGAGATCCATTTATAACCTGCAACTCATTTATCTAATTCGCATTAACAGAAATTAGTGCAACTCAAGCCAGGCACACTATTGAAGGATAAAGATAAGAATACTCATACAAGAAATAGATGAAACTTATCTAACAAGGCTCCTTGGCTGAGGGATTAGTGAGAGGCTCAACATATCACACTAACATTTATTCATTAAGTGCTGCTGTACCACAGACATACTTGTATTGGTAAGTTTTTGGGAGATCTTACAATCCTGCTGCTGTCTGCATCTCAACTGCAGTTATACCAAGTGAGTTTGGGAAAAGCTCCTTGTAACACTTCCACCAAGACTAGAGGCCTAGCAATCACACAGCCATTTGCAAAGGAGTTGCTAAAACTGACTGATTTTCCTCACTGTAACACTTTCTGAAGGGAACTTTCAAGTGTTTGGTGCTGTTTTGTTTGTTTGGGGTTTGTTTTTGAAGGTAATCTCCTGTTCTTCAGAGCAAGATTTCAGAGGGCTGATACACAACCCACCTGCTTCTCTATTGCCCAAAGTAAATAGTTCTAGTGCCTCTTTTAGCACAAAAGCATGAAGCTTCTCATGCATTCCCCCACAGATTTACCAAAGCTGAGGAGGTCTCAGAGGATAAATCAAGGTCTATCAGAGCAGAGCAGCTCTTGGTAGCTCCTGCCTGCCCTAGAAGGAGGGTAGAGGAGGCACAATGCCTTGCCCACCCCCTTCACAAGAGCCTGACTAGCACAGCTGGGAGGAAAAACATTTCAAACACAGCATTGGAAAAAGTCAGTCACCACAAGGATGGGGCTTTGGAGAACTGGGAATGGCAAGCAAAGGAGACAAGTTTGATAAAGAGCTGATGGAAACTGTAATTATCTTGATAAAGTCTCTGAGGTTGCTTGGGCAGATGGGAGAAGGCCAAAACTCAGCTAGCTGAGAAATTCAGGAGGAGGGCAGGAATGAGGCAGCACAGGGAGCATCCGAGGAGGCCCAGGAGAGAGAAGAAAGGCTGCCTTAGCAACAAACAAAGCTCAAGAGGCACAAATCAAGATGACAGGCCAAAAATAGGGAAGACAAGGCAGAGGCTTATAAAGCAAGCCCAGCTGAGCTCTGCCTGGTGGTAACTGCAGGATTAAGCCAAATTAGGTTCTTTTCCCCCACAATCATCTTTAACCAGCACTCCCAGGTACACACCTGGGAAGAGTGAAGTTAGGGTTACAGAGACACTGGTGTTAACAGCAAACTATGGTTATACACACACATGCCAGGACACCCCGTGTTAATCACAATTTACTGTTGCACAATAAAGGCTATGGAAAATTAGAAGCACAGAGAATTACCTTGGTACATGAATTCGCAAAGCAAATCAGCAGAGCCCACAACACCAGGTACACAATTAGATGTACAAAAGACTGCAGCAGTATTCCCCATACTAAACTGCTTCGCAGGAAATATTGTTTTAATTCCAGCATATAAAGCTTATAGCAACAGAGAAGAACCTATGTTTTGGGGGATGCTATTGCAGTGATCTGGAGAGACCCAATGCTTTCACTTCAACACACAACATGCAAGTCCTGTGAGTGCTCACAGAACGTGCCAGAAGGAGCCAGGACTGAGACTATCTAAGCCACTTAGAGGACCTGGACATCCGTCCCCCTTATGCTGTAAAGGGATGTTAAGAGTTTCTAAATCCATCAGGCATCCTCAGCCTCCCCCAGCAGGGATTAGCCACATCAAGGCTCCTTCCTCCCCGCACGCGCCTTGGAGCGGGGCTGGCAGCACTCACTTGTCACCGGGCAGGAAGAGGCCACCGAGCACGCCGTCCTTGTCCTCGCCCCGACAGACATCCGAGGCCTCGGAGCTCTGGGCGCTCTCGATGGCACTGTCCATGTCAGACTCATGGTGAACCTCCTGCTGCGCCAGCGTCATCGCGTCCTCATCGGGAAACAGCTCCGACTCGCTGTAGGTGCTTTCGCTGTCCAGGTAGGCACAGTCCTGGATCTCACCGCCCTGGCACGAGGAAAATCGGGAGTCGGTTCAGATCAACCCTGAAGGCAATTCAGCAGACACACGAGAAGCAGCAAGACACTCTCTGGATGCCCTGGTAAGCAAGACTGATACTGAATAAAAGCCATGAAACAAAAAGCTGACCTGCTTTACAAAGCCAGCTCCTACAAGCCAGTAAAGTAGCCTGTACCTTCCAGAGGGCTCATGTACTGCCTCTGACTTCACAGGAGAGAAGGACACACCACCCAGCTATAAAATGCAGTCAGTTTCACCCTAATTCACTAACAAAATGTACTCGAAGTAATAAATATCCTCGAAGTTTTACAACAAAACCAGGCATCTTTTGAGAGATGGTAATATATTAGTCACCAAGAGTTAGTCCTCTAGTCAATATTACAGATTAAACAAAAGCAAACCAGATAAGCCCAACAGTTTACCCTGTCTTTGAGGATGGACAAAAATTTCTAAGATGAAAAAATAATTGGCAGGCATTAAATTGTTTAGGGTAAGTCTTGGTGATAATCAAAGGTACATAAGAGCAGGAAAAAAAAGGGCAAAATCATCTCTTCCTGCTTCCTGGAACCACATGTCTTGATTAGATATCAACTAAAATAAGACATCATTCTCATTACTGCAACTCCTTGCTCTTGCTGTCTGCCCTCTCCCTCCCCTTCCTGCCCCACAAATACTAAGAATAGCCAAGACAAGCTGGGTTCTATTTGCTTGTCCCTGAGGCACAAATAAAAATTCTTAATTGAAAAAATAAAGGCTAAGATTTTCCTCTATCCTCTGATAAGCAGCCACACAATGCTACTTTGACAATTCCCATCCAGCATGACACAAATAACTCAGAGCTGCAGAGCAAGTCCTGACTCAGAGCTCTACTCCAAAGCTCATCTGGAAGCTCCAGAGGCAGCCTGACCATTGAGCTACTGCTAGCACGTGAAGCTTTTACAGCTGAGTTCATTGGCACAAGGAATGGAGCATTTGAGGGATACACCTCACGTTTAGGCACAACTGTCATCCCACCCAGTAATCCCAAGGCACTGGCACTATCACAAGCACTCCCTGCCCTGCTGCTGAGCACATCTGCTGGGACACTGGCCCAGTGGCACCACTCAGCTTCAAGTCCACCCCCACAGCCTCTGGACACTCTTCTGCTGGAGCCAAGGAGGCTCAAATCCACTTTTACAGAACAGCGATATTCTGTGCTGATGACACCAACTGTCTTTTCCACTTCAACAGGAAAAGAGTCAGGCAGAAACTGCAGCTTTTCAAGATTTGCAGAAACTCCTGTTAGAAATGCAGGTCTCACCATCCACCTTTTTCCTGAAATACCAATTTATATAACTCTGAAATCTCCTAGCATATGGAGGCTGAAGAAACTCCAAACAACCCCACCTGCTCAAATCTCATTAACTAATGAATACCCCAGCAGGGAAAAGAACAGCACTGCCTGCTGTGTTTGAAACTCCAGGTACACACTCAGAGCAGACACCTGGATGCTTTTCTAGCTGAGCTTTCAACAAGCCTTCCAGATTAACAAGCAATGTCAGTGAAACACCTGGCACTACTCAAAAAGCCTTTTCCCACTTTTCTGTGTCAGCTTTATTATGCCTGAAACTTTCCTGAGGTATTGCTCTGAGAGGTGTCCCACAGGATTTATCCTTGGTCTGTACCACACAGTACTTATTGAAGCCACGCTGCCTCGTGCAATCAAATTCACAGCTCTGAGCTCCTCATGGCCAGCGAGCCCGGGTCGGGCAGGTCAGACAGCAGCCCTGGAACCTGCCCTGCCCCAGCCCCGGGTTCTTCAGCACACCCGACCTGACCTGCACCCTCCCAAAGCCAGCAGGGACAACGCCGCTGCTGCTCTCTGCAAATTACCTTGGGACATACACATAGCACAAGCAGTAAGTCCTTTTTAGTAGGTGTTGAAAAAGCAAAGATTGCTAAGAGCAATTACCATGTTTCAGGAGTACCCAGAAGTGTTTATTTATCTAACATTTTCCCCAAGTTTCCTCCCCCACGCCGAGCCCCGCAGGCACAGACATTATTTTCTTAACAAGTTTAATACAATGAAGCCTGACTGCTATTATGGAATTGCACCAGCTGGTAGAAGTCTGATCCAGGAGGGAAAGAGGGGCAAGCAGTACACAGTGGATCCCTGAAGCTCCCAAGAAGCATGTCTTTTTCAGAGAACTTGGAGAAGTCTCCGCTTAAGCAAGTTTTTACAGCAGGAATATCTCTCCGGTATTAAACAAATTAACACAAGAAAGTAAAGGTCAAGAAGATCAAGAAAGACTCCCTTTTTGCTCCCTGTAGGTAACACCACACATTTGCTGTTCTAATAATAGCAGCTGAGGTGCTTTTTGAGGAGTCCATTAGCAATTAAATGTGCAGTGTCATCTCTATGGGCTGAGGCCTCACTTCTCCTCTCTGCCCCTTTCTGGCAACCTTCACACGTTTACTTGTACAGGAGAGCTCATCTACACTACAGCACACACTCCACTGTCCCCAGCCTGCTCAATGCCAGGGATTCTTTTCCAAAGTGTAATTCCTCTATTCCAGCACTTTAAAGAAGTCTGGGGGGAAAAAAAAGGAAGAATAAAATAAATCAATTTTTCGAGGTGATGGTCCTCAACACCTGCTTTACAGCTTCTGAAATGTCTCACTGCCAGACCTGGAACCCCTTCTGGGAGCAGGTCCTCCTTTCTGCTGATCCCATCCTCGAGCAGTGGGGAGCTCAGGGACTGATGGAGCTGGATAAATGGAGAACAGGGGCCAGCCGAGCTCCTTGGAGGAGCTGCCCCCAGCTGCTCCCCCACAGAGGGAGAGCGGATGCCATATCCCAGGCTGCCAAGGCCCCTCTCACAAACCTGGCCCGACCCCACTGCCTGATGCAAAGTGGATGTTTAGGAAGCACATCTCAGTCATGTCACACACTGAAGACCTCAGCCCTGTCAAAGCCAGCAGCAGCACGAAGGACCTTGCCGGGAGCAGCAGGGCTCAGCTCCAGCTGCTGTCAATTCCCGCTTTTAAGCGCTCAAGGTCCACCTCCAATCGGTGCTAACACAATTTCAGGCCATGTTCAGCAGCCAGCATCAGCGACAGCCACCGTGCTCCAGCCTGCCTGCCTGCTCCCTGTGGGCACGAACTACACTCTCCACCACCGGGCTTTGAGAGCTCAGAGGTGTGGAATCCCTGTCCCTGAAAACACAATATTCCTGGCACATGGGGACGCCTCGTGCAGATCCCTTAAAGCACAGAACTCTTATAACACCACTCTGGTATCTCTTCAGCTCCCTGGGTGAAACCAGCCTCCAGTGCAACTGTCACAATCACATATTTAATTAAAACTTTTCCTTCTGTGGCCTAAATAATCAGTGGGAGAACACAGACAAAGGATCTTTAAAAAAACTGATACAGGTTTAAGTAAGCTATTACAAGACAACAGAATCTGGCTGTGCCACTGGTAAACAATATACAGGCATCCACACCTTACTGAGTAAAGCTGTAAGTTATTTGAAGCTGTAATTGTTCAGTGATCATAGTTTCTCACAGAACTATATTTCCAATGATGACATCTAGCACAAGCTGCTTACAAACCACACCTAAGGAAATTAAATTTAAAAAAAAAAGGAAAAGTCTGATTGCACACATTAGCCTCTCAAATTATTCCTTCATAGTTTAGATATCTACAGTATTTCATGTACCAAATTAGAAGCTGGCAAGAACAAGTGTTATTCAGGTAGCCTCAAGAGAGCTAACTTGAGATTAAGGAGAGTTTAAGAAGTTTAAAGATGAATAGACACTTCTAGCCTGAGTCATTTGTTTCCAGAGCACATGTCATTAGCAGAAACCAGCAACAGAATGAGGTTCTGACGACTTGAATATGAATCACTGGGGTTGTCGTTCTCCTAGGCAGCTTCCTTCTTTGTTGGCCGAGTCAAAAGAGATAAAGCTGCTGCTTCTGATCTTGGAAGATTCTCATAAAAAGAAAACCCAACCCTGAACGTTAAAACACCACCAACACAACATAGCTGCGGGTATCTTTAAAGCCCTAAGTGGTTTGCACTTTATCCAATCGGATGCTCAAGATAACTCCAAGTGCTTCACAGGCAGCCGGCCAGACGCTTGTATAGCAACTGTTGAATATTCAGCAACAGTTTGCTCTATAGAAGCACCTGCTGCCCACAGATCCAAGGCCACTTCACAGAAACTAATGAATTCCCTTCCTCGAAAGAGGCTTTGTGTGGCTGCATTGAAGGCAGATGAGTAAGCCCAGCCTGCCTTTGCAACAGCCACCCCAAACAGAAGCAGGAGCCAGAAGACAGCGATTCCCATGGATTCCTTCTGATCCTTGTGGGGCAGGAAGGCAGTGTCAGCATTAGGTGGGTATGGGAATACAGCTCTGCCTTGCCCTGCAGTGACCTGACTGGGCTTTCCCAGGTTGGAAGCAATCCCCGAAATATGCATATAAAGCAGCTGAAAGCTAGAAACTTGGCTGACTGACAGGCTACATGACATGCCTACACCAATACATTCATGCTGAAGAGCAAGCCTCATTAAAATTCGCTCCCATCACAGCCGAATCACCAGCACCCCTGACATTTAGACAGCCTCACAGTATGCCAGAGGAGACAGGGAAGAAAAGAGGATCCAAGTATCCCACCACTCTGCAGTCTGATTAGTAAGAGCTGGACCCATCACACACAACCAGAAACAAGAAATGCCACATGCAGAAGAGCCATGGCCCTTCCTTCACCAGGATCATGCCTCTGACCCCTCTGACAAGCTGAATGTGCTGTGGGACAGATACAAGCCTGAGTTCTGCACCTTCCCCAGCCACTTTCTTCCCAGCAAAAGCACAGGAATGCAGAAGAGCCATGGCCCTTCCTTCACCAGGATCATGCCTCTGACCCCTCTGACAAGCTGAATCTGCTGTGGGACAGATACAAGCCTGAGTCTCTGCACCTTCCCCAGCCACGTTCTTCCCAGCA